TGTTTCTGATAAAATTTTCTTTTTTTCAGAAACAAAGGTTCGTTTGTAGTAAATAGACAGTTTGTGTTGAGATTTTATTTTCCTCTAAAGGTAGTCAAAATAGCCGGACCTTTCCACCACAGTTCAAAGTTTAAAAGTTTGCTTAGATATAGTCCTCGCGTTGCGCAGTCCGCGGGATTAGATTTCGTATCAATATAAGTCCATTGTGTGTAATTTTCGCAACTCTATTTGCGACATATCTCTCCCATTTAGTAGTCTCTCCTTGAATCCAAGTAAGCCCATACAGTAATGTTGTGCTCCTTCAAGCTTTCTTGGACCTTTGAGATCAGCTGAGCAAGTAGGTGTGCCCCACATAACTCCAATCTGGGTAAAGTTATTTTCAAGTACGACTCCGCCGCCGGCCAGTTATTTTCGCGCCATTATGGCGTCGTAATCGATTTGTGTTATTGTTTCAAAACTTTTGTTTTTTTAGTATGATGAAATGGTAGTTTATGCCAAGTGTTAATTGTTTTCAATAAATAGGATTACAAGCTATGTAAAGTGCTGTGAATTTCTGTCAAAATGCAAAGTTTTGGTGTTTATATGAGTGTTATAAATCGACGCCAGTGATAGTGTAGGTATATTTTGGTTACAAATCATATAACTGTGCATTTCAATTAAGTTTTACACGTTTAATCTTTATTAAGTTTAGAAGAATATATATCAGGGATTCCAAATATGTTTTTTCATTGAATATAATTATAAAATAACGTAGATATTGAGGGTCACTAGTTCAAGGGCGCGACAGTAATGGGTCATAGGTGATCCGCGCGCCGCGACGTCCTAATTGTTAACTGAAATTCAGCCTGTTATGTCTCTGCGTTTTGGAGATAATTGATCAAAAAGACGCTAGAGCGGGTATTTTTCAAAATTATTTTTTTCGAAAACTATTACAGCTACACTAATGAAACAAAAACTGGTCATTAGACAAAATATTAGTCTACATTATATATTTTTATAGAATTTTTCAGTTGTATTTACTATAAAAAAAAATATAGATAGATTTTATTCATAATTCACGCAGAGGTACAATCACAGAAAAAATGTAGCTTACTATGTCTAGTATTAGTACCAAAAAGTGCATAAATAAAAAATGGGTGCAACACTTCCAAAAAAAATTAAAACTCCTTATGACCCATTGATATAATACTTACATAGATGAGTAATTACCGCCTAAAATCGTTGCTACTGCACATCTGTCCACAGGCATATGCGTAGCAAACGTCAATTCAGTGTTCAATGTGGCGTCAACCGAGTTGAACATAGCGACACATGACAGTAACAATCGCCAAAATGGGTAAATGCGTAGTGAAAGAATGCGATTCAAGGTCACAAAACCATAATAAATCATGCGGAATTACTTATTACGTGTAAGTTTATGGTTTTTGTATTGATAATATCGTAAATAAGGCTATAATTGAAATAAAACATTGATAATTGTAATTTAGAATCAGTGTTACCATTAAAAAATCATTTTTGTTTTCCCACATTAGTGGGAGAATTTATAATTTATGAAATAATATGCTTTATACTGTTTTTAAACATTTTGTCAATAATAATAAAATATAGGAAGAACGGTAGTTGTTAAGGCTGAATCGATCACTTTTTTTAGGGACCCGTTGAACGTTCACCTTCTGCTAAGCTCGCAGTGCTGGAGACTTTTGTATAAAATAATTAATTCATTCATTCATTTTCATTCATTCATTCATTCATTTTTCTTAATTAATTATCAAATATAAATAACAATTGTACAAAAAATATATATATATAAAATAAAAAAGTAAATAAATATAAAAAAAAAAACAAAAAAAAAAAAATTTTTTAATATATTTTTTTTTATTTGTATTTTAAAATATTAAAAGAATTTGCAATACACCCTGGGGATTATTTATTATCAGTACAAGTTGATCATTCACTTTTACTAATAAATGCCATTATTTATTTTATTATATTTATACATAGGTAAAAATAAGATTGTATCATGAAAGTAAAATATTCACACAAACTTATAAAAAAGAGTCTAAAAGACAATTGTATACAAAACTGATGCTTCATAGCGGAGTTTGATTTTACACTGAATATAAACCCTTTTAACCAAATATTTCTAGTTATTTTATTATTTATACCTATTCCATTCAATTCGAAATATATTATTTAAAATTGTTTAAAAAAAAAATTGTTTCTTGGTTGTTATGGGTAAAATTTCATACGGTAGTCAACACTGGCCCACCATCGTAAAGTTATGTCTTTGTCTTTGTCTAATCCGAGCGATGGTATTGTTCTTGTCTCGCGTGTAAATGAGACATAAATATGTTTACTTTCAAATGTTTAGTGGTATCAAAGCTACGTCGTCAAAGTTCAAAAGTGGTTACACTTTTTTCAACGTGTAATAATGAGGTTTGCTTCTCTAGTGTTGTTTTAACTCAATGTTATGACCATCTTGGTAGGTACTAATGAATTCATATTTGTGTTTTGATTATACTTTTTCATTATTCTAGACACGATAATAACATGTTTATCATCATCATCATCAGCCTATCGCAGTCCACTGCTGGACATAGGCCTCTCCCATTGCACGCCACTTAGATCGATTTTGGGCTTCTCGCATCCAGCTCCTGCCAGCCATCTTGCGCAAATCGTCACTCCACCTGGCCTGTGGGCATCCTACACTACGTTTACCGAGACGCGGTCTCCACTCAAGAACTCGTTTTCCCCAACGGTTATCGGTTCTGCGGCTAATATGGCCAGCCCACTGCCACTTCAGCTTGCTGATCCGGTACGCTATGTCGGTGACCTTAGTTCTCTGCCGGATCACCTCATTTCTGATGCGATCCCTTAGAGAAACGCCGAGCATAGCCCTTTCCATAGCACGTTGAGCGACTTTGAACTTGTGGACCAGCCGTACCGTAAGTGTCCACGTTTCAGCTCCGTATGTCATGACGGGTAGGACGCACTCATTAAAGACTTTCGTCTTAAGGCACTGTGGGATCGATGATGAGAAGACTCGACGTAGCTTCCCAAACGCTGCCCAACCCAACCGAATTCTTCTGTTCACCTCGTCCTCGAAGTTGTTTCTACCTAACTGCAATGTCTGCCCGAGGTACACATAATTTTGAACAACTTCGAGAACGGCACCGTGTACCGCAATCGGTTCCGGTAGTACATGTTCGTTGAACATGACCTTGGTTTTATCCAAGTTCATCCGTAGGCCGATGCGTACAGAAGTGTCAGCTAAGTCATTCAGCATTTGCTGTAGGTCCTGCAACGTCTCTGCCATGATGACGATGTCATCTGCAAATCGCAAGTGAGAAATGTATTCGCCATTGATATTGATGCCACGCCCTTTCCAGTGCAGCGTCTTGAACATGTCCTCCATTGCATTTGTGAACAATTTCGGGGAAATAACGTCCCCTTGTCTCACTCCTCGATGCAATGGTACAGGCCTTGTTTGCTGATTCTGTACTTGGATGTATCGCCAATCTACTTGGCAACGCTGCAGGGACTCCAGAACAGACCAGATCTCGATCGAGTCAAAGGCTTTCTCATAGTCCACGAATGCTAGACACAGGGGCTGATTATATTCTTCGGTCTTCTGTATAATCTGCCGCACTGTGTGGATGTGGTCTATGGTGCCATATCCGCTCCGAAACCCAGCTTGCTCCGGTGGTTGGAATTCGTCGAGTCTTTGCGCAAGACGGTTCGTGATGACTCTCGAAAACAGCTTGTAGACGTGGCTTAGAAGGGATATGGGTCGATAGTTCTTCAACCTGGTCTTTTCACCCTTTTTGAAGAACAAGACGACCACACTCCTACTCCACGCTTCTGGAGTTCTCCCTTCAAACAGGACAGCGTTGAAGAGCTTTTGGAGCTCCCTTAGTACGTGTTTACCCCCGGCCTTCAGCAGCTCTGTTGTAACGCCATCCTCTCCAGGGGCTTTTCCATTTTTCAGCTGTCCAAGAGCCATCTCGATTTCGTCAATGCTAACTTCTGGCAGGTCTCTAAAGTTTTTAAGAGAATTATAGACCGCAAGGGTTTCTAATTCGTAAGACGAATATTTGGATTCAGGCTCAGTAGTGCGACGACTATAATATGCGACCACCTTATTGTTTGTACCATGTTTCTGAATAAGCATCCCGCCATAGCCAATTGAACTGGCGTCGGTATGTAACTCTGTAGGAAGTGAAGGATCAAAGATAGAGAGTATGGGTTCCGATATCAGTCTGTCTTTGATATATTTACGTGCCGCATCTTGTTCATTACCCCATTCCCAACTCTGTCCGTTTTTGGTAAGCTTAGTTATACAAGCAGTTTTAGAAGCAAATTCAGGAATGAATTTTCTAAAATAACTGGCAAGGCCCATAAATTGCCTAACCTGTTTGACAGTTTTGGGAACGGGAGCATTGACCAAGGCTCTAACTTTTGTTTCACTGGGTCGCACACCCTCGGCTGAAATTATCCATCCTAAATATTCTATAGACGTAACGAAAAACTGACATTTCTTTAAGTTTATCGTAAATCCAGCCTTAACAAGTGCTGCCAAGCTTAAGTCGAGATATTCAAGACCCTGTTCAATACTTTCGCATGGGATGAGTATATCATCCATGTAAACTCTCAGAAACTTTAGATCCTTAACCGCTTTTGTAATAGCACGTTGAAAAACAGAAGGGCCATTACATATACCAAAAGGCATTTTAACATACTCATAATGTCCGTCTGGTGTCACAAAAGCTGTAAATTTAATGCTATTTTGAGAAACCGGAATTTGATGGAAGCCATTTTTCATATCAATAGATATGTAGTACCTAGCCTTACCTAATTGGTCAATTTCGTCTTGAATTACGGGAAGAGGATATCTTTCCTTTTCAATTATAGTATTTAGAGCTCTATAGTCCACACACATTCGGTCACCACCGTCACGCTTTTTTACTAACAATATGGGACTTGCATAAGAAGAATCACTTTCACGCTCGCAAAAGGTCATTCACAATAACTTTTACCTTTTCACGTTCTACAGGAGCCAAACGGTAAGGACGATAATTAATATTCTTATCAACCTTAAGTTTAATCTCTAATGTACCAGTATTAACATTACCAATATACTCATCAGAAGGCAATACTTTTGGATATTTATCAAAAATATTTTTAATTTTTCTTCTTAAATCCGTATCTAAATTTTGAATGCGTTCTAAAAGTAAATTTTCTTCATTATAATCAGCGTAATTTACTACATTCTTTCGTATAATTTTTGTGCCAGATATGTCAGTCACAATGGCAATATCAGCATAGTTGACAGCATCTTGTCCAATTAAACAATCATAGGCAAAGTTATCATCAGTGACCACATGTAATTCTAATTCAATACATACATCATCAAAACGAACTGGTACCGTAATTTTACCGTAAGTATTCAAGCGACCAGAGCCGATACCATTCAATTTAATCGACCAAGGCGCAATGTGACAGCCCAACCGAAATGCGATGGACTCTTTCATTATAGAACAAGTGGCACCGGTATCGATTAATGCATTTACTGTAATATCATTAATGTAGACTTTTGTTAGATGAAGGCCTGACTGAGTAGTGCAATTAACAGATTTATTATTATTTTGCTTTTCACGTCGCTGTCGCATCATGTCGCTGTTTTGACCAACACTTGTCTATTGTATGACCTTTCTTTTTACAAAACCCACAATCATTAGTTTTATTATTAGTAGAAGTAGTCGCTAGGTCTTTTGATCTAGTCTTAGTTTCGCTTACAAAATAGTTTTTATTAGAGCTAAAATTTTTTGGACACTGAAACTGAATATGACCTTTTTGACCACAAGAATAACAAGGCTTAGTGGTGAAAGAATCTGAAGTGTGGGCAAAAACGAGGTTTCTTGGCAACACTTATACCTGGCTCATCATTGGTATCATTTTTGTCAAAAAATCGCTTTTGAGGGTTTTTAACATAGCTAGAGAACAAAGTTATTAATTCGTTAGTTGTAGACACATAATTATTGAAGGAAGTCATACGAACATTAACATCGCGAACCCCCCCACAAACAAGCTCAACCAACTGATCTTCGGTAAAAGCTACCCTAGTCTTTAAAAAGCAGAATTTTATCTCTGGCATATTCAGCATAAGTCTCTGCAGACTCAGAATTATACAAAACGGCTTTTGTCAATGTTTCTGTCAAATTTTTCATACTTGGGAACAGATCAACTAAATCTCGGTCACGATGTTCTGGTTCCCATGTTTCAAACCAAGTAAAAGCAGAGCCCCGAAGGGCCTTACCGGCTTTCGCCACCATTTGCAGACTGCTCCACTCAAATTCTCCACCAAGATCTTCAATATTCTTACACCAGCTCTCTGCACCGTTGTGCATTTTCTCCGGGTGGAAGACAGGTAGTACAACATCATCATGGCGTCGATTTGCTGAAAGCGTCTTCTGTATAGATTCTAACAAATTTTTCACAAGCTCCCCGTCCATAGTTCCCACACACACTATCTCTCTCTCTCACTCTCTCTATCTCTGTAATAAAAAAAAAATAGTTCTACATTTGCGAGTTTAAGCAAGTAGTCGATCCCACTTCTGATGTCGGAAGCTAACAATACATAAAAATAAAATATAACTTCAAAGCTTAAACAATCATTTATTTAAGTATTTCAAGTTTATTTATAAGACACAAAACATTAGTAATTAGTATAGACAAACTAAAATATCTTAATTTCATTTTGTACATAATAAGGGTAATTATAACAAAAATACTTATCTGTAATATGTAGGTAATAGGTACTCAGAGCCAGATAGAACCGACAGGGGGCAGAGTAGTGTTCTCTTCCAGTCTCGGAAACAAAGTGGTCCTCTAACTGCGTCGCTCGCTATGAAATACACAGTGACAACAACCCCACTCTGCCCCACCTCTGACTACCCTCTGCGACGTGTAATATCAATTTCTTTGTTTCGATTCATACAATGAAAATACGCTTATTCACTATCTGTTATTTCATACATGATTTTAAATTACATTAATTACAAGTAAATAAATAATCAATCTTTATATGAATTCGGCAATATCTCATACGTACTCAAGAATTTTTAATAATTTGTTGCAGAAATTACGATACCTAAGTTAAGTTACTTTTAAAGTGAGATTTTCAGCGTCTCTCTTTAGCTTGCGTCCCATGTTATCCCTATTACGAATGTAGCGAAGCAGTCCTGGTGTTATCCATGGCTTTAGGATTCAGTTTTTTAGAGGTATATGAATAAAGTGTGTTGTTTAATAATAGACCCAATAGTAGAACAAAGGAGTTCAGTGGCAAGATTTGCATCCCCGATATTCAGAACAGGACTAAAGTCAGTATCAGCAATACACGAAGATACTAGTTTGAAGTCGACCTTTGAAACTATTGATTTGGGTTTGTTAGGGGTTTGAACATTTTTAATGCTGAACAGAACGGATGCATGGTCAGTAATGAATGTGTCAAGAATTATTGTCGTACAGCTTTTGTCAGATTTGAAAAAGACATGATCAAGACAATTTTCACGTCGTGTAGGCAGAACGTGAGTAGTGGAGAATGCCATGCATCGCTGTAAGATTTAAATATTCATGGGCATTTTTATTCAAGTTTGTTGGTACAATGTTTATGTTCAGATCTCCAACTATCACGGCATTTTTAAGGAAAAAAAAAACCCTTTTTTTTTTTAATTGGGGGGTTTTAAAAGGGGTTTTTTTTTGAAATTTTTTCTTTTTAATGCCCCCTTTTTTTAGGACCCTTGAACGTTCACCTTCTGCAAAGCTCGCAGTCTGGAGATTTTTTGTAAAAAATAATTAATTCATTCATTCATTTTCATTCTTTTCATTCATTCTTTTTTTTTTATTATCAAATAAATAAAAATTTGTCAAAAAATATATTAAAAAATAAAAAGTAAATAAATAAAAAAAAAAAAACAAAAAAAAAAAAATTTTTAATATTTTTTTTTTTTATTTGTATTTTAAAAATTTAAAAAGAATTTGCAATCACCCGGGGGATTATTTTTATAGTAAAAGTTGATCTTCCTTTTACTAAAAAAATGCATTATTTATTTTATTATTTTATACATAGGTAAAAAAAAAGATAAAATCATAAAAGAAAAAATTTTCACACAAACTTTTAAAAAAGAGTCTAAAGACTTGTATACAAAACTGATGCTTCATAGGGGAGTTTGATTTTACACAAATATAACCCTTTTAACCAAATTTTTTCTATTTTTTATTATTTTCCTTTCCATTCAATTCGAAATATTATTTAAATTGTTTTAAAAAAAAATTTTTTCTTGGTTGTTATGGGTAAAATTTCATCGGTATCAAAAAGGCCCCACCTCGAAAAATTTAGTCTTTGTCTTTTGTCTAATCCGAGCGTGGTATTGTTCTTGTCTCGCGGTAAAGGGACTAATTGTTTATTTTCAATGTTTGTGGTATCAAAGCTAGGTCGTAAAAAGTTCAAAGTGGTACATTTTTTCACGTGAAAAATAGGTTTGCTTCTCTATTTTGTTTTAACTAAATGTTATGACCATCTTGGGTAGGTACTAATGATTCATATTTGGTTTTGTTATATTTTTTCATTATTCTAGACACATAAAAACCCCAGTTTTCTCATCATCATAGCCTATCGCAGTCCCGCTGGACAAGGCCTCCCCCCAAATTGGCACGCCACTTGATCGATTTTGGCTTCTCGCATCCATCCTCCCCAGCCATCTTCCCAAAATCGTCCTCCACCTGGCCTGGGGGCTCCTACCTACGTTTCCGAGCGGGGTCCCCACTCAAAAACTCGTTTTCCCCAACGGTTTCGTTCTGGGGGCAAATTTTTTGGCCACCCCACTGCCACTTCAGCTTGCTGATCCGGGGACGCTATGTCGGTGACCTTAGTTCCGGGGCCGCACCTCATTTCTGTGCGACCCTTAGAAAAACGCCGAGCAAGCCCTTTCCATAGCCTTGAGCGACTTTGAACTTGTGGACCAGCCGAAAAACCGTAAGTCCCACGTTCCCCCCGTATGTCATGACGGGTGGGGACCACTCATTAAAGTTTTCTCTAAGGCACTGGGGGATCGATGTAAAAAAAACCGACGTAGTTTCCCCAAAACGCTCCCCAAACCCAACCGAATTCTTCTGTCACCTCGTCCCAAGTTGTTTCTCCCCCTAACTGAAATGTCTCCCCGAGTAACATTTTTGAAAAACTTGGGAAACGGCACCGTGTCCCGCAATCGGTTCCGGGGTAGTACATGTTCGTTGAACATGACCTTGGTTTTATCCAAGTTCATCCGTTGGCCGTGCTACAAGTTCCAAAGTCATTCACATTTGCTGTAGGTCCTGAACGTCTCTGCCATGATGACATGTCATCTGCAAATCGCAAGTGGAAATTTTCGCCATTGAATTGATCCACGCCCTTTTCCCAGTGCGCGTCTTAAACATGTCCCATTGCATTTGTGAACAATTTGGGGGAAAATCGCCCCCCTTGTCTCACTCCTCGATGCAAGGGAAAGGGGCCTTGTTTGCTGATTCTGTACTTGGTGTATCCCCAACTACTTGGCAACGCTGCGGACCCCAACAGCCCCAGATCTCGATCGAGTCAAGGCTTTCTCTAGTCCACGAATGCTAGACCAGGGCGTTTTAAATTTTGGGTCTTCTTATAATCTGCCGCATTTGGGGGGATGTGGTTATGGTCCATATCCGCCCCAAAACCAGTTCTCCGGGGGTTGAATTCGCGAGTCTTTGCGAAGACGGTTCGTGTGACTCTCGAAACAGCTTGTAGACGTGGCTTAGAAGGATTGGGTCATATTCTTAAACCTGGTCTTTTAAAACCTTTTTAAAACAAGACGACCACACTCCACTCCACCTTCGGGATTCCCCCCTCAAACGGGAAAGCGTTGAAGAGTTTTTGGAGCCCCTTATACGTGTTTCCCCCCGGGCCCTTCGCACTCTGTTGGAACGCCATCCTCTCCAGGGGCTTTCCTTTTTCAGTTTCCCAAAGCCATCTCGTTCGTAATGCAAATTTGCAGGTCTCTAAATTTTTTTAAGGAATTATAGACCGAAAGGGTTTCTAATTCTAAGACGAATATTTGATTCGGGCTCTAGTGCGACGACTTAATACCCGACACCTTATTGTTTTACCATGTTTCGAATAGCATCCCGCCATACCCAATTGAACTGGCGTCGGTATGTAACTCTGTAGGAAGTGAAGGATCAAAGATGAGAGAGGGGTTCCGATATCAGTCTTTCTTTGATATATTTACGTCCGCATCTTGTTCATTACCCATTCCCAACTCTGTCCTTTTTGGGGTAAGCTTATTTTAAAAGCATTTTAGAAGAAAATTCGGGAAATGAATTTTCTAAAAAACTGGCAAGGCCCAAAAATTGCCTAACCTTTTTACATTTTTTTGGGAACGGAGCTTGACCAAGGTCTAATTTTTTTTTTAAACTGGGTCGCACCCCTCGGCTGAAATTATCCATCCTAAATATTCTATAACGTACGAAAAACTGCATTTTTTTAAATTTTTCCCCCGAAAATCCACCCCCTTAACAAGTGCTGCCAAGCTTAAGTCGAAATTAAAGACCCTGTTCAATCTTTCGCGGGATAGTATTCATCCATGTAAACTTCAGAAACTTTAGACCCTTAACCGCTTTTGTAATAGCACTTAAAAAACAAAAGGGGCCATTACTATCCCCCAAAAAGGCTTTTAACATATCATAATGTCCGTTGGTGTCACAAAACTGAAAATTTTAATGCTATTTTTGGAAACCGGTTTTTTAGGGGAAGCCTTTTTTTCATATAAAAGATATGTATACCTGCCTTACCAAATTTGGTAAATTTCGTCTTGATTGGGGGAGAGGATATCTTTCCTTTTCAATTAAGTATTTAAGCCTATAGCCCCACACCCCTTCGGTCACCACCGTCACGCTTTTTTACTAACAATAGGGGACTTGCATAAAAAACACTTTCACGCTCGAAAAGGTCATTACAAAAATTTTTACCTTTTCACGTTCTACAGGAGCCAAAAGGTAAGGAGTAATTAATTTCTTATAACCCCTTTAAATTTAAATCTCTAAAGTACCAGTATTAACTTACCAAAAATACTCATCAAAGGGAATCTTTTGGGGTTTTTACAAAAAAATTTTTAATTTTTCTTCTTTAAAACCCTATCTAAATTTTGAATCGTTCTAAATAAATTTTCTTCATTTAATCAGCGTAATTTACTACATTCTTTCGTATAATTTTTTTTGCCAGATTGTCAATCACAATGGCAAAAACATAGTTGACAGCATCTTTTCCAATTAAACAATCATAGGCAAAGTTATCTCAGTGACCACTGTAATTCAATTCAAAAACATACATCATCAAAACGAACTGTACCGTAATTTTTCCGTAAATATTTTAAGCGACCAGACCCATACCCTTCAATTTAAACGACCCAAGGCGCAATTTACAGCCCAACCGAAAAGCGATGGCTCT